TAAAAGGGAAACACAATCCAATGGAACCTCTGAGGACCTCCCAATTTGTTCAAAAGTGCCCACCCCACTATTTCTCACCCAAATTTGAGGTAGGGGGGCTCTCCACATGTTGTAACACACAGCTGCGAGCCACCGTTCTGATGTACTAATGCGCTAGCTCGTCAACAAGCTCTGTCTTGCAAATATCAAGAAAAAAAAAATCAAGGTACATGCATAATGCACACCAATGATGCCAATTTTATTCAATCCAATTTTGCTCATAGACTGTAAGACAAAAAAGATAAAACAGACAATGAATATTACCAATTTAAATTTACAATGATCCATCTGCTGTCTGATTTTTTCTGTTCTTGTTGCATCTCGAGCCATAGACCGAATTTGGATTCGAAATTCGAGACATGGTAGATGTATGTTGTACTGATGTTGTCAACTTTTCTTAGTTCCGTTAAAGATGCTAATCAGTCAGCTAGTGTATGAATAGAACTCATGTATGTTGATATATGTGAGATGTATATAATACGTCCGTTGCGGTGTATATGTCCGGTGGCTGTCCAGACAATTTATTTTATGTGATAACTCTGCAGAGTTCTCGTGCAATTCATGTGGCGTCTCAGCGTCGCGAACAGGGTCGTATGGTGGCTCACAGCTCACGCAGATGGAATAAAGTAGAAGATGGTTGGTGTAGGGAGCGTTACTTAATCTGTGCTCCCAACAACCAAAAAAATCAGCTGGTGTTGGCAGCATATGCTGGTTTGTGAGAACGATGGGGTGAGGCTTCACTGGCACACAGCAAGCCCACGGAAGGAAGTGAGTGGATCCGACCATGCGAGCTCGGAATTTTGAGATTCAGATAAAATTGCCCCTTTTTTTTTTCAAAACGGAGGCGAAGATTGCCTCATCTATTAATTAGATAGAAGAAAATTGTCCAGTTAATTACGGAAAACCGGGCAAAAACCGAAACAACAAGGGACAAGCCCACTCCCATAGACTGAAACACACAGGACAAAGCCCATCCTAATCGATGATAAGTCGACTTGCAGCTAGACAACGCAACTCGGACTTTGACGGAGAACTCAGAAGGACAAAACCAGACACGACTGGCGCCACGGAAGATCACCGAACGGGCCACCTACAGCCAGTCATCATACACCACAGGGCCCCGCTGCTGCAGCTTCGACTCCACAACAACAAGCAACCCAAGGCAAAACCGTGGACACGCCAGAGAAGAGCCGACTACCGCAACCATTGTCACGTCGCCGACATCGCTTCCACCATCATCGTTGCCACAAGAGTCTGGTCGCCACAGTGATTCTCTCGGGGCCGCCGCCCCGACATCCACCGCTCCGTCGCGCCCAGCGCAATCAACCGGCACCGCCTCCGGGGCCGCCGCCCCGACATACCACCGCTGCCCTCGAGCAGCAACGCCACACAACCCAGCTGCCCGCAGCCCACGCTGCTCAGGGCAACCGCTCGCAGACCACGAACGTCGCACCACATCCGGGGCCGCCGCCCCGACGTAAAGTCAGACCGACTCCTCTGAGGCGCGTCGACCGAGCCGACATCCCTACCGCCCAAGCGGAACAAGAATGCCACCCAACCAATGTCAAGCCAGAGGCCCACCTCATAAAGCTGCCACTCGCATTGTTTCCGAGATCGCCATCTCGACGCATAATCAGAAAATTGCCCCGTTTTAATTTGATGCTCACTAACAATAAGGGCACTATTTTTGTGCACATAATTGTAAGGACCCGGATAATATCATGTCTGATTTACAGGGTTTGTTTTTGCTTGTTCGCTTGCATCAAACAGAAACTGTGGATTCTTTTCAAGAGGTCTGAGTGATGAAAAAATTCCTATAAAATATAGTACAAAGAAAAAATAATTAAAAGGGGTACCTCACAAAAACTCATATGTGAGGTGCTCCAATATTGCTTTGCCACTTCTGAAAAATTACGCGTTCTGAGTAGTACGGCAAAAAGATGTGCTCCCTCTGTTCCATTAACTTAAATGTTGTTACAATCAATCATTACAACATACGCCACGCATGGCCAAACACAACTGACAATAACCCCGTCACTACCGTTATCAAAACTAAATTCAGCTAACTCATGCTCCATCATATTGGCTTTACGATTCACCAATTTAAAGCTTCAATGATAATTTTTTGATGCACAATGCTTCTCTCTTCATATCAACAAATGGGGACATACCAAAGAGCACATCTGCTAGAAAAGCACACACATACGGTAGAATGAGTTATACTCCCAAAGAATGACAACCATAATCATGCTTGTCTGGAATTGTATCAAGGAATAAGATATCAACAGCACAGTGTATACGCCCAACGACTTAGACACAACGTCCTTGGGTTTCGAGATGGTCAAACCAGACAAGATTTCTTAGATCAAATCTACTCTACGATTAACCAGGGCCTCAAATGTGTCGTCTTGGCCGTCCCCTAAAAAATTGTCCTCCTGGTCATGGTTTATGGATATTTATACTCAGTCTTTGGTCGGTTCAGCTCCTTCCGCCCTGCTCTCTTGGTCGTGGATGGCTTGGTACCCTTTGCCTCAGGACTTGCCCGACTTCCTTCTTCGGAGTTCGGGGGTGTCCGTTTGGTACCCTTCCTTTCCCAGATGCAGATCACCAGTTGACGGTGCTAGGGGGTGCCAACCTAGTCGGCCCATAGTCCTCGGGCTGGGCCTGTAGGCCCTCATCCCCATTCAAGAGGACTCTGGAAGCTACACGACTGGACGTGATCAAGACTGCATCTATCGAAGACTTGGCATATTACTCCAAGACATCTCCTGCCACCTCCATGCGTATCCCTGGATACCGACCATGTAACCCTAGATGCCCTACCTGATATGTATATAAGCTAGAGGGTTCAGACCGTAGAGGGGAGCTCAACACAATTACATTCACCTAGCCCTGGAGTTAGATCTCTCCTTACGATCTCAAGGTAGATCAAGCTTGCACTCGATACATCATCATCAATACAAACAAAGCAGGACGTAGGGTATTAATTCTTCGAGAGGGTCCAAACTTGGGTAAACACTGTCTCCTTCTGTCGGCGTTCTGGGAACGGGGGTCCCCAGACTTGCCTGCCTGCGGCCTGCGGCGTGGCTCAAAGGGGGGCCCAGCACGGCCCATCTTCATCAACACAAGCTCAAGACCCTCGCGAGGGGCCAAGCCTCGTGGGGCGGACGACAAGGAGCTTCCTCAGGCATGGCCTCATCAGGCTGGCTCACGAGGAGGCGAAGAGATCAAGGCGGGGTACCTCACGAGGTGCCCATGACGCAAGCCATG